CCCGCCCCCCCCCCCCCTCCAGGATTTTAAATTATTTAAATTATTTAATGCCCCGGGCCCGAATTAAATAATTTAAATATGAAGCTCCCGAATTAAATATTCATATTTAAATCGTGGCCTTCATATTTAAATTATTTAAATCGGGCCCGGGAATTAAATAATTTAAGTAATTTAAATAATTTAAATAATTTAAATCCTGGAGGGGGGGGGGGCGGACCTCCTCCCGCAGGAAGAATTAAATAATTTAAATATGAAGGCTCCGAATTAAATATTAATATTTAATTCGGGGCCTTCATATTTAAATTATTTAATTCCTCCTGCGGGAGGAGGCCCGCCCCCCCCCCTCCAGGATTTAAATTATTTAAATTATTTAAATTATTTAAATTATTTAATTCCCGGGCCCGAATTAAATAATTTAAATATGAAGCTCCAGAATTAAATATTCATATTTAAATCGGGGCCTTCATATTTAATTCAGGCCTGGGACCCCCCTAGGACCTAAAATAGGGTCTATTTGGAAGTTGGCTCTTGTAAATAAGTATACGTTTTGGGGCCTTTTTTCCTCTTGTGAACACGAGTGCCAGCTTCCAAATAAACCCTATTTAAGCTGCACACCCCCCCCCCCCCCCCCCCCCCCCCCCCCCCAAGATCTACACCCTCCTTGTCTACACTACTCTTCTGCTTGCTTCCATGCACTTGTGTACAAATAGCGCCCGCCGAAAACACGGTGAATACCGATAAAATACGTGACACATCGTGCATGCAAAATGTATATCAATCTGCAACCGAATTTCGGCTTTAAAATTATATGACCTTCTGGTGGAGAAGAGAGCGGGGTGCTCCTCGCACTCACCATCTTTGAAGCACATGTAGCCCCAGCCTGTCTTGAAGTCCTTGATGTGATCCGCACATGGCTGGGCCTGCTGCGCTCTGTCGTAGAGCATCAATGGAAGCCGCTCCTTTTTGGTTTCCTGGAAATACTGTTCCACCGCAGAAACTGCGGCCGCGCAGGCCGCGATCATCAGCAGGTCGACACCACCATCCACAATACTCCTAAGGCCAAAAATCCTGGAAGGTATAGCAGTCTTGCTGTTAGCACCTTAAGAAACTTGTGTTTTTTTCGTGTTTTTCCTGCGGTCCCAGTATCCTTCATTGCTCACCCGAAGCAAGCTGAAAAAAGGAATTCGTACTAAACCGACAAAACCGGTAGGTACTTAGTATTGAATGTCTATGCAAAGAATATTGCATTGGTGCGCTTTAAAGATGTTCTACATGTTTCACTAGTCGTCAATTTGCCTATTTGATCAACATTTCGCTTGGAAGAATCGCTATTTCTTTAGAAAAAGAACGAATTGCTTAAGAACAAGGGGGGTCGGACTGCAGACTCCTTCATGGCCGCAGCTTCCGCCACGGACCCCCAGCGGCGACGCACCTGCGCGCGAGCGACCGAGTGTCTGACAAAACTTCCGTCGCAGACCCTCAAGGGCTGAGCTTCCAACGGCCCTCTCGATTTGTTCCACGTCCCAGTCCTTGCCGTCGTTGGCAAGATCACGCGCTTGCGACAAGACCTCTCTCGCAAGTGGGTCAGCTTACAGAACGAACCCCAAGACTGCGACGGTGCGTTAGAGTCACTCAATATAGAGCGCTAGGGGGCACCGCAAGTGTGATCCACGCCATGACCTGCAAACTCGGCTCTACACGACCAAAACTATATGCACTTGAATGGACAAGGCGCGCTGCGGAGGTCGACGACTGAGGACAGGACGGGCTTGTGGACAAAGGAACGGTGTCGCAAAGGCTGTAAAGCAAGAGAAGTGCAGCCGCGAGTTCTCAGGGAGAGGCTGCAAGCTGTGATGAGTATAACATAGCAAAATGCAAACAGCTCGCTCTCAGGCTCCCACATGCTCCCACTGCCTCGGGTTGTAACCTCGAAATCAGAGCACAGTGCGCAGGAGTTCTTGCATGCTTCTGCGTCGGCCGCGAATCTTGCTAGAGCCCTTCTCCCTGTAGGGCCGAAGCGGCACTCGGACAATGGTGGTCTCCCTCACGCAGGTCATGCGGCTCCAGTGGCCGCAGAGGGCGTTGTTCTCGTTCTCCGCGCGGAGTTCCCAGCTCAGGAAGCCCTTATGAATCAGTACGTGGACCTGCGCACGGGCGAAGTACGTACTCGCGCAGATGCAACTTAGTGACCTAATGCTTGAGATGACTCAGCCTACCTCCGCGCCCAACACCAATCCACCCAGGCCCAGCGTGACCCGCACGGTTTTGCGGGAAGGCGCCTTCGTGAACTTGCGCGCGCTTTTGATCACAGGCATGACCTTGGGAGTCAGGCATGACAATTCAGTAGCTCATATCACGACGTGATGTCCAGCTCACGCGCCTTAGCCAAGGAGCTGTGAGTGGCGGCAGGAAGGATGCAAAGCAACGCTGCTGAGCAAGACGCTTCAAGGAAACGGGTGGTACCTTCAAGCACTGCCAGATACTATGTCCGAACCATCTGAACGCTAAGTCTTTTTGTCTTTCATTTTGTGACGATGCCGTTACTTGCCCGTAGGGCACGCAAAAAAGGCAAAGCATTTTGTAAAAAAAGGGCACGGCTGAAATTGCCAGGATCCGTGTCTTCCGAGATTTTGCGTCTCGCCGATACTACGCCCTGGCTAACTCAATCTTAAGATTGGGCTTCCGTGGCTGCCTAGCATACTCGGCAGACTCCGATCGAAAAGCAGGTATAATTTTGCTAAAACTTGCCATGGGCAAAAAGAATCGTTTTTGTCAGGGGACTAAGCAGGCAGCCTGTTCGGCATGGCCGGCTGGTGTATCGAAACACCTGAAAACCCAAAAGTCCAAACTTCGACAGGGATTCTCCCGAGGTTTTCGGATTTATGAATTTCGGAGAACTATGATCTTCACGAGGAAATAATAGGTGTCTAAGAAATTATGTGCATTTTTGAGCTTGTCTGTGTGAATTGTGTGTTTTAGACATAATATATTCTGTACAAGTGGTATATAAATAGTGCGTGAGTAGTGTTTTTGATTATTATGTAATGAAAACTGTTTTGTTATAGTCAAATCTGGTACACATAATCGTTGTGCTCCAGTCGTCTTCGTTGAAAACTCTACGTTTCTAGGAAAATTATGTATTTGTAAGCTTGTCGGTGCTGTTTAAGAGTTCTACGTTTCTAGGAGAACTGTGCGCTTGTAAGCTTCTCTATGCGAACTGTGCGTTTTAGACATAAGGCTAGGATACTTCACTAGCCTCTTTCATATGGTCTTAATTCAATATTGTTGCCGCACTAGGTATTTAGACAAGTAAGTATTTGCCTGGGCTTGGGACAAGCACTGCTTCTCCAGAAACAGAACGAATTGCTTAGCAAAACGCTTTGTCTATGAAATTGCAGTATTTGTCCAGATTGCCGAGAACAATCCCTATATTTTGTACTAGAAGGAACAAAAGCTAGGATAGTTCACTCGCATCTTTCATATGGTATTAGTTGAATTTGCCTAGTACAGGCACTGTGTATCCAAAAAAGCACAGTACCCTAGGTTTGTGGGCATGCGCTATTTCCCCACAAGACAAAAACAAATCAGACAAACCAAAAACTTACAAACCAAAAACACCAAAACCAAAAAAAACTCAAAACAACAAGAACAACAGAACAACCATCTTTTTGAGACTCTTGGAAAGACGAAACAAAAAAAACACAAACCAAACAACCAAAACCAAAAACGACCAAACAAACATAAACATTGTTGCGAGACTCTTGGGCGAAGGGAATCACTACCCCTTGACGTCAAGAGCTCGGAAATCTTGGTCTTTTTTGTCTTGGCTTTTGGAATCCCGATTTTGGTGGCTTTGTATCTCTACTTTTTTGGGGTTCTGGAAACCTGTAACCGTAGATCTTGGGAGGGGGGCGAGCAATATATATATATATATATATGTATATACATATATGTAATTATGTATTTATTTATTGAGATATATATATACATATATATATATAGAGATAGGCTAAGCCCTAAACCCCAAACCCCCAAACCCATAACCATCTACAGCTCCCGAGGATCCTCCGTGTCATACGACTCCTCCAACAGCTGGCGAAACTCAGCGGATGTGAGCCTAGGTCGCAACCCAATACGGTTTAGGGTTTAGGGTTTAGGGTTTAGGGTTTAGGGTTTAGGGCTTAGGGCTTAGGGCTTAGGGCTTAGGGCTTAGGGTTACAAAACCAATGGTGCCCTTTTTGCTGGGGGAGCTGCGGTGGGTTTTGAAGGGAACCTCAACCCGTAACCCCAAACCCTAAAAACCCCAGAAACCCAAACCCTAAGCCCAAAAACCCTAAACCCTAAACCCCACACCCTAAACCCCTTTGAAAGGGAACAAGGATGGTACTATGGGCATCCTAGGCGCTGTTTCACGTGCTTCGTGGCGCACTCGGCAAGCAAAGGCACGGCTTCGTCAAAGGGTAGCCGGCTCAAGGTGGAAGGAAACATTGTGCATGCCTAGCTTTGGGGTTTGGCGTTTAGGGTTTAGGGTTTGGGGTGTACGGTGTAGGGTGTAGGGTTTAGGTTGAAAACGATCCGAAAAAGTCATCCTAAATCTCCTCTTGAAGCGAAAATGCAAAACATCTCAAGACTCTACCCAGATGCTGCCTCGACAATTGGAAGCTGAACCTTCTTGCCAACGGAGCACTGGGACAGCATCCGGGTCGTCAGAATTACTTGGCCCAGGTTGTTTAGTCGCAGTAGGTCGGATGGGAAGCGCCTAACTCCAGCTTCCGCAGCCTGCTCGGTGGAGCAGAGGCCCCAATAGTCCTCGATGCTGCATCGGACCTCTTCCGGAAGAGCCTGGAATAGTCCCAGGGGTGGCTGCGGGGACGCTCGGTAGGGGCGCCGCGGCTGCGCTTCCTCGGTCTCCGGCTGTTCTGGTGCAGCCGTGGCCTCAGTGACTGCCCCACTCCGCTTGGAAAGCACGGCCACGAAGAAGCCACCGTGGTGCGCGTCCACGCTGGTGGGCAGCACTCGGCGGCACTTTCGAAGCTGCTCCGCCGCAGGGCCAGCAGGAGGGAACATGGATGCCGCGGCCCACTTCTTGGGCTCTGAGCATGCAGAAAGCTCCTCATAGGAGGAATACATCTTGCCAGTTCTCCTTGGGATAGCCCAGTAACCATCTTACAATAAGGCTACCCTTTTGGGGTTGGTTACCTTATGAATTAACCTTGAAAACCCCCCCCCCCCCCCCCCCAAAAAAAAAAAAACAAAAAAAAAGGAAAAGGCAAAAGAGGGTACCACTGGGCTACCACGTCTCTCAAAGTGCATATCTGGCACCTTCCAGGTCTGCAGCCCTTCCTGGAATTCGGGCCCTTCCGCCTTGGTAGCCCAGCAACCATGTTAAAATAGGGGTACCCTTTCTTGGGGTTGTTTACTGTATAAGGGAACCCTAAACCCTAAACCCTAAACTCTAAACCCTAAACCCCAAACCCCAAACCTTAAACCCTAAACCCTAAACCCCAAACCCTAAACCCTAAACCCAAAAAAAGTACCACTGGGCTACGAAGCCGCAGCCCATGACTCGACAGCTGCACTCGGGAATTCGCTCAGCAGCGCGGCGACGACGGCCTCATCCTCTACCTTGGAGACTGTAGGATCAAGAGGTTTATGTTGTGTTTAGGGTTTAGGGTTTAGGGTTTAGGGTTTAGGGTTTAGGGTTTGGGGTTTAGGGTTTAGGGCTTAGGGCTTAGGGTTTAGGGTTTAGGGTTTCGGGTTTCAGGTTGTCGCATGCAGAAACAAACAACCACACACGAACCCAAATGGGGTTCTATAGTGTAGGGTATGTGCTCCCAATTTTGAGGTACGAGTAGCATGATAGTAGCCCAATTTCAAGGTCTATTTTGGTTCCCAAGGTGCTGGGTTCAACGAGCAGGTGGAGTAGACGAGGCGCCCGCCTGCTTCGAGGCATTCGAAGCCTCGGCGAAGCAGGCCTGCGGGTTGCCAAAAATCTTTCACCCAAGAGGAATTCCTAGGAATACACAGGGTGCCCCTTTTCGGGGGCTTTTAAAGGGGAACCTGGACCCTTTTCACACCTGAACCCCGGAAAAAGGGAATAAGGGCCTAGACTTCTCTGGGCCGGAGAGTTACTGTAAGGGGACCTTATTCTCCACAAACCCTAAACCCTAAACTCTAAACCGTAAACCCTAAACCCTAAACCCTAAACCCTAAACCCTAAACCTCCCCGGGCCTAGCTGGAGTGTGTGCAGGGTCAGCGCTTCGCCCACGCACCACGCCCGCCAGTTTCCCGGATTCTTCCGCAGCGTCCCATCCCCAGAGCAGGGCGCATCAACCAAGACTTTCTGGAACTTGATCTTGTAGCCATTCCGGCGCCGAAGGGAGGGAAACTTCCGTCCATCGCAGTTTGTGACCAGGAGGCTCTGCTTTCCTTGCCGTCTGCAGCGCTGGGCCACCACCACCGCGCGGGGACGCGAGTAGTCATTCGCAACCAGGAGACCTCCCCCCTTGCCTTTTTCAACCGCCTCCTTGGTAGCCATCTCCTGTAAATAGGGTACCCTTTTTTGGGGGTTGGTTACCTATATAAGGGAACCTTGAACCTAAAAAAGAAGGGAAGAAAGGGTACCACCGGGCTGCCAAGCCTCTCTTGTCATGATGTCCAAGATCTGCAGAGTCTTGGAGCCCGGTGAGGCGCAGAGGTCCAGCACGCAGTCCTCGCCGCCCACATCGAGGGCCAGGACCGGGAGTGTGCTGGCCCACTCCTGGCGGTGGAGCGCGCCGACTTCTTGAGCAGCCGCAAGGAAGGCGCCTGCCTCGGTGTCTAGGGGAGATGGCAGCACCCAGCAGTGTGAGAGGAGTGGCAGAGCTTGCGCTTCCGTCATCTCCAGCAACTTCGACTCCACGACGCTGCCCACACTGGAGCTCGAGATGCGCACCACCTCGGTAGCCCCATTGTGCCCATATTAGAGTAAGGGTACTTGTTGCTTTGGGCAAACATGGCACCACTGGCCATATTGGAGTAGGGGTACTGTGCCCGTTTTTTGGGGGTGGTTGTTACTTCATAAGGGAACCCTGAACCCCATGGTACTGTGGCCTTTTTTTGGGCTTGGTGTTATACTTCATAAGGGAACCTTGAACCCTCCCAAAAAGGAGCAAGAAGGCTACCACTGGGCTCCCAAGCCACCAGCGGAAGGGGCTGCTTCAAGGCCTCATAAGCCTGGTCCCACACTTCCTTCGGCGCGATCTGCTGGCGCGCATAGTAGGAGAACCTTGGAAAGCAAGTGAGCCCTGTCGTTGGGAAGATGTACCCCATTGCTGCTATAATCCCAAGGAAGGCATATGGACCCTAAACCCTAAACCCTAAACCCTTCTAGGGCTCATGTGTTCCCCAAGGAACAGGGCTTGGTTTCCGAACCCGGCCGGAGGTGCCTCTGGCGCCTCTTTCTGGTCAGGCTCTGCCATTGCTGGCGCTTCTGCTGGCTCATGATCGCCTCTGATGGCGCTTTCAACTAACCGAAAAAACATTCCTAAAATGTAATCCTCTTCAACCCATAAGGGAAAACACATAAGTCATAAGTGATATTCCTAAAATAGAATCCTCTTCAACCCAATAAGGGAAAACACATAAGTGTCCCAAAGAGCCTACGGAGTCGCTGGTGCCGTCGTGCCCACTCTCCTTCAAGTGTTGGAAGAGCTGGTTGCGCGAGGTGAAGAGCACGGCGCAGGTCCGGCACGTGCCTATTGTTTCATGGTTGGGATGATATTAAGAATATAAATGTGTATTCCTTATTGGGCTTAAGTACCCTTAAACATGTAAAATGGTACCCCAACTATGACTCAGGTGCGCTGCTCGCGGCTCGCAGGCTTCACCTGCAGGAGGAAGTCGAGGTGAACCACCCCGCGGTCGTCCACCGAATCCTTCATGGCCTGAAGAAGATCCTCTTGACCATGGATGGTGAACTGAAGGCCATCCTGATCCCTCCAGCGCAAGACCACGGTGCTCTCATCCACCTCCCGGGCCTTCAGAGCCGCCCCAAAGCACCGGAGAGCTTCAGGCCTCAGGTGTTCGTAGAGCGGAAGGCATCGGATCCTCTGCACCTCCCTCTCAAACGCGCCCTCGCGGCGCAAGGTGACCTCGAAGTCCGCGTCTTCGATGGGCTCCCCGAGTCCCTTCATGGAAGAAGGTGCGACCAGCGGATGAACACATGTGGAAGCAACAGCAAAAGGAGCTAAAGAGACTTCTTGGGCCCCGTGGCAGAGGTTTCGGTCTGGCATGAAGAAGCATGTCAACTTTGTGGCTACGCTTTCCTCCCTTTTTTCCAGGTGCGAAAACAGAAGATGACACCTACCAGCTCTAAATGCAGAAGCTTCCTCTGCCGTTCCACTAGCTCCAGTATAGGGTAGGCCTCCGTGCACCCTAGACCCTAGACCCTAGACCCTAGACCCTAGACCCTAAACCCTAAACCCTAAACCCTAAGCCCTAAGCCCTAAGCCCTAAACCCTAAACCCTAAACCCCTAACCCCTAAACCCTCAACTTCCTGAGATTGCAATGCGCCTACGCCCCCAAGGCGGCGGAGAACCCGGGGAGGCCCCGCCTTGCGCCTTAAGTAGAATAGGTTTCTTTTTTTTTTTTTTTTTTTTTTGGGGGGGGGGGGGGGGGGTATGTATGGTAGAATTTATAAACGAACCATGAGGAAATACTATTAAGAATTCTTCCGACCCTATCGTCTGCCTCCCGGCAGGCTGAATAAAACACGCAGTGCTCGTTGCTGCTTCTCAACGCCCAAGTCTTAGGGCTCAGGAAGGTGTAGGCTTTAGGGTTTAGGGGTTAGGGGTTTAGGGGTTTAGGGGTTTAGGGTTTAGGGTTTAGGCTTTAGGGCTTAGGGGTTAGGGTTTGGGGTATAGGGTTCAAGCAGGATTTAGGGGTGCATTGGCCGGCCTGGTCAGCACAGGTCTGTGGCGTTGAGCCATGGCCCCTGTAGCCATTCACCGCCCTAAACTTGGCCCCTCTTGGCGTGTAGGGCTTGGGGTTTTGGGTTTTGGGTTTAGGGTTTAGGGTTTAAGGTTTAGGGTTAGGGATTAGGGTTTAGGGTTCCGAAGCCAAGAAAGAGTGGTGCGACGTTCGTCGCTCTACAAACCGCCTCTTTCGCTTGAGCACCATGCGAGACGCGCTTAAGGGTTGAGGTTTAAGGCTTGAGGCTAAAGGTTTCAGGTTTGGACTTCTGGGTTTAGGCTTAGGGTACATACGAATGAATAGGAAATTCCTTGTACGGATGCACGGTAGCCATGATGTTTAAAACCTGATGGAAAGCGTGTTCCCGATACTACGTCTAAGTATAGTAGCCGTAAGTACGATCACCACAACAACAGCTAATACAATATGCTAGTAATCACAGTAGCAGGCATGGGCTTGGGTCTAGGGCCAATAGCAGTAATAAACCCAACACCCTAAACCCTAAACCCGAAACCCCACACCCTAAACCCTAAACCCTAAACCCTAGACCCTAGACCCTAAACCCTAAACCCTGAACCCTAAACCCTAAACCCTAAACCTGTGAAGCCCGGACCTGTGCAGGCTTGCATCAGCGTCAGCGCTGTGCGCCTGGATGATGCCAAGAGCTGCTCAGGGCTTCAAGGTCAGGTTTAGGGTTTAGGGTTTAGGGTTTAGGGTTTAGGGTTTAGGGTTTAGGGTTTAGGGTTTAGGGTTTAGGGTTTAGGGTTTAGGGTTTAGGGTTTAGGGTTTAGGGTTTAGGGTTCAGGCTTCAGGGTTTAGGAATAGTTGGCAGCCTGCTTAAGAACATGCCCTAAATCTTTCTCTGCATGATCTGAACCAACAACCCCGCCCCGTAACATTGAACGGGCAAAAGTTTGTGGGTTGTTAGGGTTAAAGGGTTTCGGACTCGGGCTTGGCGAACCCTGAACCGCCTAACACCGTAACCATGGACGGCCTCAGCCCTAAACCCTAGACCCTAGACCCTGGACCCTAGACCTTAGACCCTAGACCCTGAACCCTAAACCCTAAACCCCTAACCCCTAAACCCTAAACCCTCAACCCTAAACCGCTTAATTCAGCTGGGCGTGCAGGATGGATGGGAAGAAGGTGCCGAGGATGGCCGGTGTGTCGGCGGCTGGGAGTCCCAGGGTGTAGTCGTTGACAGCCTGAAGGCTGTTTCGTTAGGGTTTAGGGTTTAGGGTTTAGGGTTTAGGGTTTAGGGTTTAGGGTTTAGGGTTTAGGGTTTAGGGTTTAGGGTCTAGGGTCTAGGGTCTAGGGTCTAGGGTCTAGGGTCTAGGTTTAGGGTTTAGGGTTTAGTTTAGGGTTTAGGGCTTGCTCAGGGGTTATTCGGGATGTTCTTGCTTTTTGAAGGGTTTGTGTAGTTTTCTTGCGAGGGTTCCTTAGCTAGGGTCCTTAGGGCTTAGGCGTTCCCCGCAACCTGAGAATGAAAAATAAGCCCTTTGCTTCTCCCTAAATGATGGGATTCACTTACCCCTAAGGGTCCGTGTACCTAAATAGGGAACACTTGGGCCTTAAAGTACTTCCTATATAGGGACTTTGGGCCCAAGTATATAATAATAAGGTACATGGACCCTTAGGGTTACGGTTGGGTTTAGGCTGTGGGTTTGATGAGACGCAGCATGGACACTGGCCCGGAAAAAGGGAGCAAGGGTATTACGGGGCATCCTAGCAGACATACTCTGCAGGGTTCAGGGTTTTGGGTCTACACTACCTAGGGTTTAGGGTTTAGGGTTTAGGGTTTAGGGTTTAGGGTTTAGGGTTTGGGGTTTAGGGTTTAAACCCTAAACCCTGAATTCTGAATCCTATGAGCCGCAAATGGGGCTAGGGGCAACGAAAACGAAGTCGCAGGTGACCGTGGTCATGTACAACTTGATGACTGGTTGATTATCTTGAGTCTTGCCGCTAACGGAAGCAACACAACACATCACCGTCCATTTTAAGGTTTGTAGAGTTTGGCTACAGTTTACGGCTTCGGGCTGCATGTGCATGCAACCTGCAACCCTAAACCCGTGTCGCAACCTGCTGGAAGACAATGGCGAAGCAGTAGATGACGATGGACCTTTGCCACAGCAAGACTTTATTTGGGCCTCCCTACCCGCCCAAACCCTAAACCCTAAACCCTAAACCCTAAACCCGAAACCCTAGACCCTAAACCGCATGGGGCTTTATAGTTGAGAGCTTATAGTTCACAACCATCGCCGGCCAGAGCTTCAAGAGGTGCGAGGAGGCACTTAGGGTTTAGGGTTTAGGGTTTAGGGTTTGGGGTTTAGGGTTTAGGGTTTAGGGTTTAGGGTTTAGGGTTTAGGGTTTAAGGTTTCGACTTTAGGGCTTAGGGAGGCTGAAAGGGCTACATCTTCAAGGTGCACCCAAGCCCCAAACCCTCTCGAAAGACCCCGAAGGGCTTGGACTCCGAACACAGGAGTCGCCTCAAGCCCTATACTTTGGGGACCCTGTTTAAGGTTCCTAAAGGTAGTATAAGGGCCATATTAGGAGTACATTAAGGGGAAACCTTTAGGTATACTCTTGATATGGGTTTAGGATTTAGGAGGTTAAGGTTTTGCGGTGGTTAAGGGTTCACAGGTGGGAGACATAGACCATCTGGAACATATTCCTCAACAGGAGAACACGGTGGTTTCCAAAAAAAAACAGGGTCCCCCTTTTCGGGCCCCCTGCTACACGGGACTATGCTCCAATTGAGCATTTGTTTTTTTCATTGTGTGGGGTGTTGTAATGGCATGGGTATCCTACGCGGGCCTACGCGTCAGCTCATGTTTAGTAGGCGCGCGGCCTACGCGCGGAGTATGTTGTTGACGTGTGCCTACGCGGACCTACGCGGCAAGCATAGACAAGCTACGCTGACCTACGCGCCCATACTGCATAGACTTGCCTACGCGGACCCTACGCAAACCTACGCCCTGCAGGCAAAATGCTACGCGGCCGACTTTCAATGATCGCGTCTCTACGTAGCCTTGCTCGTAGAAAAAAAACGCTGCTCAATTGGGGCATAAACTGGTTTAGGGTTTAGGGTTTGGGCGGGGGGGGGGGGGGGGGGGGAACCCCTGTTTTTGGAGACCCCCTATATACCAAACATCCACTGCAAGGACGTCTTCGTGCCGAGGGGGGCGCAGCATGGCAATGGCCCAAAACAGCGAGCGGGTCGTTGCCAGCATGGAGTGGTAGATCATGCGCAGCGCCTTCAGTGAAGCAAGGCGGTGGGCTGTTGCTCCCTGGGTTGAAGGTTTTGCTTCAGAAACATCCAGAGTTTAGGGGGCCTCGGGTAGGGCCTGCTTGTTTGGGTTTAGGGTTTAGGGTCTTGGGGTTTAGGGGTTGGGGTTTAGGGTCGCGGGTTTAGGTCTTAGGGTTCCAAGGAAAAGCGCGCCCCCGAGCTGGCGACACGGAAGGAGCAGACCTTTTGGGGCTTGGCATTCCTCAGGGTTGACCAAGGAGTCTGAGCGGGTTTAGGGTTTAGGGTTTAGGGTTTAGGGTTTAGGGTTTAGGGTTTGGGGTTTAGGGTTTAGGGTTTAGGGTGTATGGCCTAGATCCTAAACACCCCTCCTGGGTAGAAGTCAGTGAATCGAAGGGAGTGGGGATAAGGATTCAGGTAGGGGTTCGAGGTTAAGAGGTACGTAAACCGCAAACCCCAAACCCTAAAACCCTAAGCCCCTGAAACCCTAAACCCTAAACCCCCAAACCCTTGAAACCCTAAACCCCTAGAATCCCTAAGCCATCAACCCTAAAACCCTCAAAACCCCAAACCCTAAACCCTGAACCCTGAACCCTAAACCACCCGAAAGCGCGTCAAAACCTGAGCTCCGGGCGGGGACCTTCTGGAGCACGCGGTGGATGCGCAGCAGGCGGGCAGCCCGCCCGATTCGGATGACTACCAGGAAGCTTGCCTGTCCTGTGCTCGAGAGGTGAGGCGGTGGTTTGCCTTGATGTCAATGAAGCAAAGCTCTTCTATGTAATCGCTTGCTAACCCTTAATCGTAAACCCCAAACCCTAAACCCTAAACCCTGAACCCTGAACCCTAAACCCTAAACCCTAAACCCTAAACCCTAAACCCTAAACCCTAAACCCTAAACCCTAAAGCTGCCTGCACCTGACACACCTCGAAAGCCCCATGCCCGTAAGCCCGCAAACCTCAACACAAATTGACCCGCGGTCCTAAAACTCATACCGCTTTTCCCAAGATGGGGATCTTATTTGGGGGTTTAAGGATTAGAGTGTAGGGTTTAGTGTTTATTCTATTTGGGTATAAAAGGGGAAAGCCCATATGGGAGCCCAATGAACTACCAATCTTCTCGCCCTCCCCGTGAAATAATAAACCTATACTCACCTACATAGCCATTTAGTTTCAATCGGCCCCTGAACCACCCGGCTTGGGCTATGGAGTGCTCGGTGTCCCTAAACTCTAAACCCTAAACCCTAAATCCTAAACCCTAAGCCCGAAACCCTATAAACCCTAAAGCCCCTAAGCCCTAAACCCCAAACCCTAACCCTAAAACCTCAAAGCCAGAGTCCTGAAAAGCCAGCACAGTCCACGATGAACTCGGCAATGCCTCTTTTCAACTTGAAGCCGGGTGGTTTGGGGATTAGAGATTAGGCTTGCGGTTCAGGGTTTAGGGTTTAGGTTGGAGCTGAGGCTGAGGACTTCGGTTTTTTGGGTTGATTTCGGGCTTCAGGCTCTCATCGGGGCTCAGAGTTCAAAGCGCTTCCGCTAGGGTTTAGGGTTGGCCCTGAACCCTAAACCTAAACCCAGGACCACCACTTCTGCGTTCACTTTGGTTTGACAGTGTCGAAGCATGTTTTTTACGAACGCCACCAAGACGTGCGGTTTTGGTTGGGGGGGGGGGGAAGTTCGGTTCCGACCTATGAATATTACCTATACTTACGGGTGGGGCAGGGGGGGGAGGGGGGGGGGTTGGGGCATGCACGACACGGGAGCCGAAAGAGAACGAGCCAAGATCCACATCACTTAGGGTTTAGGGTTTAGGGTTTAGGGTTTAGGGTTTAGGGTTTAGGGTTTTAGGGTTTAGGGTTTAGGGTTTAGGGTTTAGCGATTTGGGGTTTTCGTACTCCTCTCGACTCCGACTAGTAAGGCGATAACTCCAGTCCCTGGGCCGCTGGCAATCTAAACCCTACAAGCCCTGGCCGGTTAGGGTGTTAGGGTTTAGGGTTTATAGGGTGTTAGGGTTTAGGGTTTATAGGGTATAGGGTTTAGGGTTTAGGGTTTGGGGTTTAGGGTCCTAGGCCCCTGATCAGTCCACGGCGCATGCTGTATGTACAATAGAGGCAAAGATTGCAACTCATAGCTTAGGGCAAGTTGAGCTAGATGGGGGGCAACGAGCTGAACGCACCTGCCGTGACCATGATAATCTCCAGGACGTGCCAGCCGATGTCATCTCCATAAGGGTCGAAGAACTCCTTCCCGTCCACCTGGCAGCCCAAAACCCTAAAAATCCTGAAGCCCCAAACTCCGAAAAAGCCGTAAACCCCTACACTGTAAAACCCTAAAACCCCGAAGCCTCAAGACCCTAAAGTAGCCGAAAATAGCCTATGTAGGACCCAAAATCTCTGAGCCCCAAACAAGCCCGAAACCCTTAAACCCAAGAGTTTGAGGTGTCTCCATTAGTCCATTGGCCCATTGGGCTTTTTATAGCCAGCGCTCACTCATGTGGGGGTGCGAACGACATGATGGGAAGGGGAAAGGGTGTCGAGTTTAGGGGGTTTAGGGTTTCAGGGTTAAGGGCGCAGGGTTAAAATTGAACCCCCCTCCTCCCCTCCCAGAGCGCGGGCCAGTGCAGCGCCGCGAGAACCGCACAATGCACGCGGTATTTCGGGTTTAGGGTGTAGGGTTTCGGGTATCGTGACCAGATTTCTTGCATTGGAACAGACTTGCCTAGGCCGATCCGGAAGAGGAATCCACTTGTCAGTTGCTTTCTCATCAATGCCATCAATGCGGTTCGTTCTGCACGCAACGTCCCGTCAGATGAGGTGCATGGTGCTGCTGTCCAAGGGAGGTGATTCCAACATCCACGACATTAGCACTAACCTCAGTGAATAAGGTAAGGAATGTAGAACACAAGCCAAGTTTCCACCAGGGCTCAAGCACCCCCCCCCCCCCCCCCCACCACTTTGTTTTAGGGATTAGGATTTAGGGGTTTTGGGGTTTAGGGTTTAGGGTTTGGGGTTTAGGGTTTAGGGTTTAGGGTTTAGGGTTTAGGATTTAGGGTTTAGGGTTTGGGCCTCAGGGATTTTTAAAGAAGGTCAACGGCTGAGCACCACCTTAGGCTTGGTGAAGATCTCAACCTTTGAGTTTTCATTGATCTAACTCCACTGGTTTAGGGTTTAGGGTTTAGGGTTGGCAAATTTCAGGTTAGGGCTTCGTAAACCCTGAAGCCTGAATTCGGCATTTTGGGGCTTGTACTTTGGGTTTAGAGCTTCAAGGGAGGCTCACATAAACAGTCCCTGTGTTTCAAGCTCGGGCAAACAAAACATTCCAACGAAGCCGGAGCACCAAAATGCGAGCGCTGACCTCCATCAGGAACAAGAGCCTGGGGAGTACAACATCTTCTGGGGACGGGAGGTCTGCCTAATGCAGTTTGTGCGGATAGTATACGCTAGAGGGGATACCCACAGCACCACCTTCAAGATCCCCTGGTTCTTCACTGGTAGGGAGTGTGGGAATTAGGACCCTACATAATGCCATAAAGGTTAGATACAGGGTACCTCATTCCCTCATTCCCTACTAAGATCCACCTTCAAGAAACGGGAAGAAGGGTACGATTGGGCATCCTGGTGAAAGGACCCCCCTTCAGAGCCACCGGACTTGCTTGGCTCTCAACGGGAGTGGGGTAAGTTGAAAACCTAAACCCCAGACCCCTAACCCTAAACCCTGAAGCCTAAACCCTAAACCCTAGAGTCCTTTCGGGTTGAGGAATTCAGGCTGTCGAGAACTTGAAAAAACACACCCCAACAGCCAAGACCACGGCAGGATGAACCCCGAAAGCATTCCAAGATGACCGTTAAGGTTTAGGGTTTATAGGGTTTATAGGGTTGATAGGGTTGATAGGGCTGATAGGGTTTATAGGGTTTATAGGGTTTATAGGGTTTAGGGCAACTAGCCACTCCAAGCGCACTCCCACATCACGCCAGGGCCATGCCAAAAGCACTCCATTGAACCTTCACAAAAAACCATGCAGGCTTCTTAGAACGGACGCGCGACGCCAAACCCGTCCAAAAGCCCAAAAATGCAGGAAAGTGCGTCCCCGCCACATTTTCGCGAGACCGAGCGTGCCCTCCTCTCTCTATGAGAACTACTTTGGACTTCTAGTTGTTTTTTTTGTGTGCACCAACCCTGCGCACTTCCGAGGGACAGGCTAAGCTGGCGAAAGATGGTGCCTGTGCTGGCCAACAAAGACCAGTTTGTGAAAACGCACCTGCGTCGCACTATCCTTGTGTGAGTCACTCCACAGAGCAAGCCATGCGTAGTGCCATCCTCATCGGACATCCTCGCTGTGCAGCTCCCAACAAACACCCCATCTCAAGAGCGTCTTGCCCATTGACCCTAAACCCTAAACCCTAAACCCTAAACCCTAAACCCTAAACCCTAAACCCTAAACCCTAGAGGAGCTCACAGTGGTGCTTCTCATGTTGAAGAGAGTGACTTCATGACGACCTCGCTGCTGGTGTGTGTTTGTGTTGTCTGCCCTGTCCTGAACCCTACACCAACTCTAGGGCTCCTGCAAAACCCTGACAACTACCCTACACCCAAAACCCTCTAAACCCTAAACCCTAAACCCTAAACCCTAAACCCTAAACCCTAAACCCTAAACCCTAAACCCTAAACCCTAAACCCTACTTACTAACCTTATAAACTTAAACCCTAAACCCTAAACCCTACTAGCCCCAAACGGCGTGCATCTGCGGAACGTCGTCAGGTGTTTGAAGACCACCAGCACAGCAGGCAAGTCCGCCGAGGACTCAGCCGCACGGTCCACCTCCAAGAGGTTTAGGGTTTAGGGTTTAGGGTTTAGGGTTTTAGGGTCGATCATGTAGGCTTCGTTCAGATTCGACTCAGGGTTAGGGGTTAGGGGTTAGGGGTTAGGGGTTAGGGGTTAGGGGTGCCGGGGTTAGGGGTTAGGGGTTAGGGTTTATGGTTTATGGTTAGGGGTTAGGGCCTAACCACAAAAACCAAGTCGTCAAAATCGGGAACCCTTTCCTAATTGAAACGCTACAGGGACGGAGGCTGGCGGGCGCTCGGGCGATGGGCTCACAATCCCAGGTACGGAGTTGTTGACGGACGTCGCGTTGGGGACTTTTGGGGCGTCCGGGGTCCAGAAGCCCCCAACCCTAAACTCAAAAGTCCAAGGGAAATCATCTGGGCATGTGGGCCTTTCCAAGACTTTCGCATGCTTTCGCGCTGCGAGATTCGGGGGGTTGGAGTTTAGGGGGTCAAGATTCAAGCCCTTGGTATTTAGGGCTTTCCAGGGTTCGGGAATTAGGGATTCAAGGTTCAAGGATTTCGGGTTTAGGGTTAGGGTTCAAGTATAGGATCCTACTGTTCCTTTTGCTGGTGTGACGGGCTTCAGTTTGAGGACTTGCGTGGTGCAGAGATAGGCTAGGACGAGGCGTAATCCGAACCTTGGTCAAGGGTTTAAGGTATACTACATCCCTAAACCCTAAACCCTAACCCTAAACCCTAAACCCTAAACCCTAAACCCTAAACCCTGAACCCTGAACCCTGAACCCTAAGCCCTAAACGTATAGGAAGTTCAGGCTGCCTGCCTCCCAGCCGACAAGAACTGCAGAGAGCACCGTGACAGTCAGAGTGCCTGGTGGAGGCTTGTCTGCCGAGGTGGAAAGGGTTTAGGGTTTAGGGTTTGGGGTTTAGGGTTTAGGGCTTAGGGGCTTAGGGGCTTAGGGGTTTAGGGGCTTTAGGGGTTTGGGCTTTGAGGTAGAGGGTTTACGGTTGGGATGTTCCCTCTTATACTAACAGTCTTCAGTAGAGATTGTATAGTAACAGACCCCGATTCTTATCCATGTTAAGGACTGTTCGTACAAGGGGGAACATCCCCAAGTTTAGGGTTTAATGGTTTATAGATTTCCGGTTTGGGGTCTAGAACAGAGTTTTCCTGAACCGGAAAGCGATTGGGCCGAGACCCCAAACCCTAAACCTAGTGCACAAGACATGCAAGCCCGGCACCCAAACCTGCACTACGAACCCCAAACTCAACACTGAGAGCTGACGACGTTCAACCCTGTTTAAAGCCAAAGTCCCAAACCCTAAGCCCCAAATCCTAGTAAACTCAACCTAAAAGTTCCCTAAGCCCCAAACCCCAAACCGCAAATCCTATCAACCCCCCAGCCCAAAACCCCAATCTCACCTCCTGGCAACGAAAGAAGCTTAGGCATGTCCTCTGCGATTAGGGTTTAAGGGTTCAGGGTTAAGGGTTAAGGGTTTGGGGTTTAGGGTTTTAGTGGGATACCCCTAGACAACAAACACTAAACATCCCCGAATCCCTAAGCCCTAAACCCTGAACCATCCCAAAGGCACCCTGAACCCTAAACACCCTAAACCCTCAACACCCTCAACAGCCTAAACACCCTAAACAACATGAACTCATTTGGGCGTTTGCGAAAATTCAAATAGTAGGATCCCTTCTAATAAAGGCCCCAATAAGGCACCCCTAAACCCTAAACCCTAAACCCGAAACCCTAAACCCCTAAACCCTGAACCCTAAACACTTCGGAAAACCCCATTTCGTGCCAGGGAGCACCACTCAAGCCACTGAGATCGAACCGCCGAGGTTACGTTGGCGACGAACTTCTCCCGCGATCCAAATCTCAGCGGTTTAGGGTTTAGGGTTAGGGTCCGGGGTGATTACGGCCAGCGGATTGAGGGTTTGGGGTCCAGGGTTTAGGGTTTCGGGTTTAGAGTTTAGGGCTTGGGGTTTGGGATTTAGGGCTTGGGGTTTGGGGTTTAGGGCTTGGGGTTTGGGGTTTGGGGTTTGGGGCTTAGGGTTTAGGTTTGGGGTTTTGGCTAGAGTGCCCGACAGGCCGAAAAAAAATCTAAACAAAGCCTAAAACCATCTTGAACCATAATCCCTGAACCCTAGACCCGACACGCAGCACTAGACCCTAAAGCCCCAACGAGCAAACCCTAAACCCGAAACCGTAAGCCCGGAACCCAAAACCCTAAACCCCAACGCCAACTTCGGCATACTCGAAAGGGCTTGGGTTTGGGGTACAGGGTTTAGGGTTTATAGTCCCTAAACCCTAAACCCTAAACCCTAAACCCTAAACCCTAAACCCTAAACCCTAAACCCTAAACCCTAAACCCTAAACCCTAAACCCTAAGGGAACAGTGGCATGTTGGAGATCCAGGGTGCTTAAGGGCCCGGGCTCCCCGCCCGAATTCTCATGCGCGGGGCTGGAGGTCACAGCCTAAACCCTAAGATGATGAACCCTAAACCCTAAACCCTAAACCCTAAACCCTAAACCCTGAACCCTGAACCCTAAACTCTACTTACCCCAAGCCCAGAAAAACCCACGACTAAGCGCGAAGCCCTAAGCCCGAAACCTCTATGACCTGAGCGTCCTCCTTTGCACCAGACGAGGCCGAAGCTAGAGAACGCGTTGCCCGCTAGAAGTTGATCTCTCCACTTGGTCTCCGAGGCTTGGTACGATTTTAAGGCCTGGGCGTTTTTCCTGGATCTGTTTTTCCAACAGACCTCCCAGGGTTGCCACGTACGACGCCCACTCTTGCGTAAATTATGCCTCGGATTGGCCAACCTTGGCCCATTCCCCCTTGGCATTGGACTGCTGAGAGACTAGTCTGTGCAACACTTTGGCGCTGCTGCGATGAGCTGATGAGCAGCTTGGCTTGTGCTGTGCCAAAAAAAGGCCTGCACTTGGGGTGTCAGGTCCTCCATCTGACCTTCCAGGGCATTTAGCAACTCTGCCACCAACCCTAAACTCTACTTGCCCCAAAGTCTCACAAGCTACGAAGCCCGAAGCCCTAAACCCTAAACCTATGAAGCCCAACAAGCCCGTAAACCCCTGAGCTCCCAGCCCCTAAAGCAATTGCAACCCGGCGGCGTCCCCTTTGTCCCATACCGTTCGCCCATCTGATTCTTGCGCAGCTGTGAGAAGGCCTGTTAGGTTGCTGCAGGGTTTAGGGTTTAGGGTTTAGGGTTTAGGGTTTAGGGTTCAGGGTTTAGGGTTTAGGGTTTAGGGTGAGGGTTTAGTGTTGGGCTCTTTTGGGGCTTCTAGGTTCCGGGAAGCCCTTTACACCCCATGCCCCTCTCTAGTGAGCCCCTTCTTCCCAAAAAGGGCCCTGAACACCAAGATCCCTAGACCCGAAACCCTGAGCCCTAAAACTCCCACTGTAGGACTTGTGCGTGTGTCAGGGTTCGGGCGTAGTTGGTTGCGGCTTACAGTAAACTCCGAAAAGTTGGAACATCCTTATCCCCATACCCCTTAAGGTACACTAAAGGGAATCCCAGCCCTAATCATCCATAAGCCATGTTCCTACTTGTCAGAGTTTACTGTAAGAGGCTTGAAGTTTGGGGTCTAAGGAGATCAGCTCAAACCTATAAACCCCCCAAAACCCTGTTGAGTCCTTGGGAGTCTGCCGTTTAGGGCTTAGGCTTCCCTAAACCAACCCTAAACCCTAAACCCTAAACCCTAAACCCTAGACCCTAAACCCTAAACCCAAAACCCTAAACCCTAAACCCTAAACCAGGGCTTTCCGGAAGTTTCAACCTGCAGCGTTTGCAACACCTGCCTCTTCGCGCTCCACGGAGCAGCGGATGGTCTTGATCTGCGCCACCTGCGCGACGTGCTCGGGGCAACTCGGGAATCCTAAGCCCGAAGCCCGGAACCCGAAATCTTACGGGTTAGGGTTTAGGGTTTAGGGTTTAGGGTTTAGGGTTTAGGGTTTAGGGTTTAGGGTTTAGGGTTTAGGGTTTAGGGTTTAGGGTTTAGGGTTTAGGGTTAATTACATGGCCCCTCAGTGTGGGCCCTTAAAAGGGGAACCCATTACATACCCCTTTTCTACCCTACACAACCCAAGGGCCCATGCATCAGAAGCCTTTAGGGGAGGTAAGGGCCCGTGTAAAAAACCCTAAGCCCTAAACCCTAAACCCTAAACCCTAAACCCTAAACCCTAAACCCTAAACCCTAAACCCTAAACCCTAAACCCTAAACCCTACCCTAAACCCGAAGCCCAAAGCCAGCCTGCCCCTAACAGCAAGAAGCAACTCCTTGCATCAGCCATCCAAGTTCCAACTTTGGATTTAGGGTTTAGGGTTTAGGGTTTAGGGTTTAGGGTTTAGGGTTTAGGGCTCAGGGTTTGCAGGGCTTGGGATGTTCAAATTTCGTCCGGGCCTTGCTGAGATTGCCGGCAGAAGCCTGGCCACGCTCAGAGGTGTCAGGTGTGAAGGGAGTCTTGCGGGGGTTTAGGTGTCGGGGTTGATTTTAGGGTTTAGGGTTTAGGGTTTAGGGCTTAGGGTTTAGGGTTTAGGGTTTAGGGTTGAGGGCTACACAGAAAGGATTGGGGTTTTGGGTGCTCCACAGGGTTAATTTGCATTCTGGACCCTGCTTGGGGGCCACCGAGAAGAGTAGAACCCTGAAGCTTCTGGAAACCCTAAACCCTAAACCCTAAACCCTAAACCCTAAACCCTAAACCCTAAACCCTAAACCCTGAACCCTGAACCCTAAACTGTCAACCCGAAACCCGAAACCCGAAACTCTAAAACCCTAACTTGCTTAGAGCTGCTGAGGTTGTAGGGGCCAACCTGCAATTGGGTTTAGGGTTTAGGTATTAGGGATTTAGGACTGTAGGGTTCTTGTGTTTAGAGTTCTAACCTGTAGTGGTACCTATATCGAGAGTCCTCTTCCTTAACCCTAAATACCAAACACCAAAATGAATTTCAATCCAAGAGTCCCGCGGCCCGCTTTTGACGGATTTCGCTGTGAATAGGGAGGCTTTGCCTGCAGCTGGCAAACAGTTTAAGGCTTAAGGCTTCAGGGCTTTTTATGCGTCGGGTTGAGGGTTTAGTTGGGGTTGGTTAGGGTTTAGGGTTTAGGGCTTAGGGTTTAGGGTTTCGGGTTTAGGGTTTAGGGTTTAGGGCTTAGGGTTTAGGGTTTCGGGTTTCGGGTTTAGGGTATAGGGCTTAGGGTTTAGGCTTCAGCATCTCAAAGTTCAAGCTTTCACTACGTTAGCAGCTTTTCAAGCGCTCAAAAAGTAAGTACCCACCCACCCAGAGAATCCCACACCAAATTAAGATAATAAAAAGTTTCACACGCGACCCAAACTCCTAGCCCCAATTGAACCCACTCGTCCCGAACCTTAAAGCTAACCTTGGGACCCTGAACCCTTCAGACCCTAAACCCTTCCGCGTGCGCGCGGGCGCGCGGGCGAGTACAAGGCAAGACCCTCGAGTGCCCCAACAGGGCCCGTGCAGGGCCAGTACGAGGCCAGACCCTTGAGTGCCCAACAGGGCCGGTCGATTGTCGGTCATTAAGGTTTAAATTTATATGTGATAGGAGGGGTTTAGGGTTTCGGGTTTAGGGTCTAAACCCTCCTGGAGCATCCTCTAAAGAGCAAAGAAAATCAGCCGGCTGGAGGCTGCCTTCCACGTTGGTCTCGAGATCGACGGTCTCTCGAGGGACTGGGCGGGTCCCGTGTCTAGGGTTTTGGGAGGGTTGGGGGCTTTAAGGTTTACCCTAAACCCTAAACCCTAATCCCTAAACCCTAAACCCCAAACGGTTTTGGGTGAACGGTTTCAGGATTGGGGTTTAGGGGTTTTGGGAGGCTATGGGGTGAAGGTGTTGGGGTCTCGTGGCGATAAAGAGCGGCTCTCCACGTAAGCCCCCAGAGTTGTCTGGGCTTAGGGTTTAGGGTTTAGGGTTTAGGGTTCAGGGTTTAGGGTTTAGGGTTTAGGGTTCAGGGTTTAGGGTTAGGGTTTAGGGTTTAGGGTTTATCTTCTCCATGCGAACCCTGAACCACCAAACCCCAAACAATAGCATTCAACCCCCCCCCCCCCCCAACCCCCTAACATTAAACCCTTCCATATTTTACACAACAGTATTTGGGGGGGGGGGGGGGTATGTAATATTGGGGGAAGGGATTGATCCCCAAACCCAAAACCCTGCACCACGACAAGCCACAACTCGCCGCCCCTGTGGACACTCCAAAATCCAAGCTTGGAACCATGGGCCCTTCCTCTGTCCCTTGCCCTTGTTTATAGGAACCCGAAGTATGGGCCATTGCTATATCTTAAACAAGCAGATAAACAAAATAATAAAAGAATGAATCTATATATATATATAACTGAATCTCTCTATATATATATATAGTGTATATCAGGGTGATGCAACAAGGCACCCAAGTTAGGGGCCCATATTTGGACCCTTGCCCTGACCCTGCAACCATTCCGGCAAGCCGCCGAAGGAGACCGAGCGCTGCTCCTGCACAGAGCCTGCAGGCATTCGGGGGTTTAGGGTTTAGGGTTTAGGGTTTAGGGTTTAGGGTTTAGGGTTTAGGGTTGAGAGTTTAGGGTTTAGGGTTTAGAGTTTAGGGTTTAGGGAAAGTTGGAACATGGTCTAAGGATCATTCGACCTCGGGATGCTCTCCTTTAGTATACTTTCTGCGGTATGAGGATGAGGATGCTTTGACTGTAGAGGGTTGTTAGGGCTCAGGGTTCGATATATGAAGCAGGGTTTATATTACTGTTTTTGGTGAGTGTATATAAGGTTCCCTTTTAATGTTGGTGAGTGTTTATAGTTGTTGTCCTTTCGGGTGTACAAGAAATATAAACCTTGCTTCATGTAGTGGTTGGGCCTCTATGGGGGCTTTACGGGAATTAGGCTAGACCCGGGAGTAACCTAGGAATAAAAGGGTGCCCTTTTTGGTGTTAACGGGTTTTTGAGGGAACCCCAACCCTAAAAAAGGAACAAGGGCCTTCTCCCGGTCCTAGTAGGAGATCCGCATGTAAAAAAGCGTCTGCCCTGACTCTGCCAAGGAGCTGAAGGACACGGAACGCTCCTCGCCTGCGCCGGCAGCGGGACCTGCGAAACTAACCGTAAGGGCTTGGAGGTTGTTAACCCTAAACCCTAAACCCTAAACCCTAAACCCTAAACCCTAAACCCTAAACCCCAAAACCCAAAACCCTAAACCAGGCTTCTTGGGGATCAAGGTTTATCATATGGGGGGGGTTTCCAGAAGATGGGATACCTAACTGGGGTCCTTCTGAGAAGGGAATACTACCATTTTTTGGGGGTCTACATCTTGGGGGTTTAGGGTTTAGGGTTTAGGGTTTAGGGTTTAGGGTTTAGGGTTTAGGGTTTAGGCCCGTCTTTTCGTAGTTTCCATAATATATAGTGGTGTTCAAGGGCCTTCTAGGGCTGAAAGAAATCTAGGTTTCCCCCTGGCCTGAGAGTTGCAAGGGTGCCCCTGGTTGTGTTGCGGTGTGATGGCCACCCTGGACCCTGTAAAGCTCATAAAGTGAGTTCCGGGGTGTAGCCCTTGCGCGGTTCGAGGCTTAGACACCTTTCTGCTTTGCCATTTGGGTCTCAGAGTTTGTACAAGAAGCTTGGGATTCCAGGCGTCCCTAAGCCCTAAGCCCTGAAACTTTTCAAAAGAGGTCTCTGGATTGAGGGGCTTTGCGGCCCAAACCCCGAAGCCCCAACCCCAAAACACTAAACTTTGAACCCTATGCCGCCCCTAAGCCCTGAAAGCCCTCCCTGAGCCCTGAAGGCCCTAAGCACTTGAGCCCTACACCCCTTCAAGCTCTTCGATTTCAACGTCGGCTGCAATGGGTTTAGGGTTTAGGGCTAGGGTTTGGGGTTTGGGGTTTAGGGTTTGGGGTTTGGGGTTTGGGGTTTGGGGTTTGGGGTTTGGGGTTTGGGGTTTGGGGTTTGGGGTTTAGGGTTTAGGGTTTAGGGTTTAGGGTTTAGGGTTTAGGGTTTAGGGTTTAGGCTCTAGGGTGGCCTCGCGACGTTGCTGGAGGAACTAGGAGCTTCGCTCTCTCGCGCTCTTCCCAGTTCCGGATGTGCTGCTCTCTGTCCTTCCGGCAAAAAGACTCAAAGGAGGGGGGTTTAAGTTTAAGGCCTAAACCCTAAACCCTAAACCCTAAACCCTAAACCCTAAACCCTAAACCCTAAACCCTAAAACCCTCAACCCTAAGCCCACTTTTTCCTTAGGGTTGAAGCTTTTTGGTCTTTGGGTTTGGCCTGTACATCTATCAGCTTGCAGAAGCTCCAGACTCGAATGCCAAGGTCTGGAGTCAGGAGCCGAAGCAACACATCTGGGGTTTAGGGTTTAGGGTTTAGGGTTTAGGGTTTAGGGTTTAGGGTTTAGGGTTTAGGGTTTAGGGTTTAGGGTTTAGGGTTTAGGGATCTCCGACCAGCCAAAGCTGTGCAACCCCAAAACCCCTCCAGCACATCGGAGCTCGCAACCCAGAACCGCCCTTCCGTCGAATATCGGGGCCTGAAGCATTAGAATGAGTTTTTTTGGGGTTATTATTTAGTGTAACCATGAATTGGGACCATAAGGGAATACTATTTCGTAAACATTCCGACCCCTATAGTGTAACTATGAATTGGGACCATAAGGGAATGCTATTTCGTAATTATTCCGACCCCCATAGTGTAACTATGCATTGGGACCATAAGGGAATGCTATTTCGTAATTATTCCCACCCCTATGGTATCCACTCCTTCTGTCGAGGTGGGCGAATCGTGTCGGTGCTCATCACAGCACCGTCGGAGGCCTCGTCTTTGCTTTTTAGGGGAGACGAGTCCAGGAGTGCCGGGTTTGGAAGCTTCGGTTTAGGGGTTAGGGTTTACGGTTTAGGGTTTAGGGTTTAGGGCTTAGGGTTTAGGGTTTAGGTTGGTTGGTTGGTGTGCAGTTGCAGGCGAAGGAGGGTGACACCACGTTACCTAATTTAGGGTTTAGGGTTTAGGGCTTAGGGTTTAGGGTTTAGGGCTTAGGGTTTACGCCCTAAGAAGTTCCCAACTGGCAGAAGCTGACCAGAAGGCACAGTCTTCGGTCAAGAGCAACTTGCTTGACTCTAGTCCTCTCTCGTACTAGCCGCACAGAGCAGGGCAGGAACTGCTTGACGGTCGAAGCCCCTAAGGCCCTAAGGCCGTAAACCCCAAACCCTAACCCGTAAACCCCAAACCTCAAACCCCAACCACCCCAACCCCCAAACCCCAAACCCCAAACATCCCCAAACCCTAAACCCTACCGTCCATCCCAGCCTTTGGGGCCCAAAGCATGAAAGCTAAACTCTAAACATCATTTCAATATAAGGGATCCAAATACAAATTCATCGTACACCGCACATGCGGAACGGCGACACTTATGCCCACTTGCTTTGGGTGGCGGGGTGGGGGTGGGGGTGAAGGGGGGCGACCTACTATTGTGCCAAGATACAGTCGCAAGGAGGGTAGGTGCACAAGAAAACTGGCTGCTGCTAAGGTAGCTTCAACTATCAAGCAAGATGTCCTTCTATGTACCATAACTCCACATGGTAACTTAGTCCATGTTCGTGTACGTCCCCCCGGAAAGGGGCGGTGTACAAGAAAGTCTCCCCAAACCCGAAACCCTAAACCCTAAACCCGAAACCCTAAACCCGAAACCCTAAACCCGAAACCCTAAACCCTAAACCCTCAACCCGAAACCCTAAAACCCTCAACCCCATCGTGGCCCCTTGCTTCTGGGAGCACGGGCTGCACGGCTGAGGGCGGGCTTCTTGTCCTTCCCTTCGAAGCCGAAGCGCTTCCTGCTAGGGTTTGGGGTTTACTCTGGGTCCTAGTAACAGCCTAAGCTTCGTACCGAACTCCGAACTCCGAAGCCCTTAGCCCATAATGGGGTTTAGGGTTTAGGGTTTAGGGTTTAGGGTTTAGGGTTTAGGGTTTAGGGTTAGGGTCAACTACCAAGCGCCGTCGCCTGGTGTCCGCGATCTGCCGCCGCTCCTCGAAACTGACCATCGACTGGCGCCAGTGGCCGGGAGGGGTCGGGATGAGGGCTCTAAACCCTAAACCCTAACAAAAAACCCTAAACCCGAAACCTTAAACCCTGAACCCTGAACCCTGAAATCTAAACCCTAAACCCTAAACCCTAAACCCTAGACCCTAGACCCTAAACCCTAAACCCTAAACCCTGCACCCTAAACCCTAAACCCTGGTGTTTAAGGGCTTGGGATTCTGTAGCCCATAAGGGCACCCATTTTTGCGTTGGTTAGTTTTTTAATAGGGAGCCCATAGCCCAAAAACATAGGGGTAAACGGTACCAATGGGCTACCAAGGATTGGGGCCACAGGGTTTACCTGGTTGTAGCGGTTGGCGGGGGCCCCCAACTCAGAAAAAACCCAAGCCCTACGTTGGCCCTACATGGGTGTTCTCCAACATGGTGGGGCTAAGCGGTTGGGGTTTAGGGGTTGGCCGTTTGCAGGGGCTACTATGACTGAAGTTAAGGGCGTACACAGGGGGAGGCACCCGGATTCTTCTTGGAAGCTCCCACGCCTGAATCTGATCAGAGACCTGGCCAACACCAACCCTTCCAACTAGTAGCAGCCCTCAACCCTAAACCCTTAACACTTGCACTCTTAAGCCCTGAACCCGACAGCCCTAAGCACCAAACCCTACACCAAACCCTGCACCTAGACACAAGAGTAACCCTAAACCCTAAACCCTAAACCCTGAAAACGGGTGCCCTGTTTCTTTGGGTGAAAGGGGCTTATGGTGGAACCTGAACCCTCTAGGGGCCTTCTCCGGGTTCTGGACACACCAAACTCTAAACCCTATACCCCAAGCCCTAAGCCCGAACCCATAAACCCTAAACCCTAAACTCTAAACTCTGAACCCTAAACCCTAAACCCTAAACCCCAAACCCCAAACCCTAAACCCTAAACTCTGAACCCTAAACCCTAAACCCTAAACCCTAAACCCTAAACCCTAAACCCTAAACCCTAAACCCTAAACCCTAAACCCTAAACCCTAAACCCTAAACCCTAAACCCTAAACCCTAAACCCTAAACCCTACACCTGAACAATCCGAGTTCTGGGGCGGCCTTCGAGGCGAGGTGACCCAAGAGCTCACCCAGCAGCTTGTCCTGGAGTTTAGGACTTAGGGTTTAGGGTTGAGGGTTTAGGGTTTTGGGTTTAGGGTTTAGGGCTTAGGGATTAGGGTTTAGGGATTAGGGTTTAGGGTTTAGGGATTGCCGAAGCTTTGGGGAGATTCAGGTTTGGGGTTTAGGGTTTAGGGTTTAGGGTTTAGGGCTTAGGGTTTAGGGCTTCGGACTTAGGGCTTCGGACTTAGGGTTTAGGGTTGAGGGTTTAGGGTTTAGGGTTCAGGGTTGAGGGTTTAGGGATTGCCGGGCGTGCCCAAAAGGGGCCTTGAATGGATTGTTGGGGCTTTAGGGGTTTAGGGTTCAGGGTTTAGGGCTTAGGGCTAGGTTTAGTCTGATGGTTTAGGGTTGGGTTTTGTGGGTTAATGTAGGGCTTTACGGCTGAGTTGCGGGGGTAGGGGCTTTAGGTCCCTTCTTCCATTTCAGCCCTTGGTCCCTCATTCCTGAACCCAAAGTACCCTGAATCCCTGAACTTCATCGAAGCCCCACCTACCCATCCTGGAACCGTAAACCCCATTGCCCAAATCATGAACCCTGAGTTTCTTGCAGCTCTCTACTACGCCGCCGCCAGCCCATCTGGGTCTGCTCTTCGGGTTTGGTTGGGGTTTAGGGGCTAGGGTTGAGGTTCAGGGTCTCAATGAAGCTTGCGCGACTCAAACTTGAGCTACAAGTCAGCCGAAACCCGAGAACTCAAACCCTCGCGTCCTGGCGCTGCATGCCATCACACCTCAAGGAGCCAGTGAGCTCGGGAGCATGGGATGACTCAAGGTTGAGGGCTTAAGCTTACATACATACATATATACATACATACATACATACATACATAAATACATACATACATACATAATTCCATACATAATTCCATACATAATTCCATACATAATTACATACATACATACATACATACATACATACATACATACATACATACATACATACATACATACATACATACATACATACATACATACATACACACATACATACATACATACATGCATACATACATACATGCATGAGTGTACTCGATATGCATCTATATAGAATGTGTGTGGTGCTCATCCAGCATCATACACATACATACACATGTATACATATAGATGTACACATTATAGAAATAACAAAATACGTATGTAGGATATATGTATATGTACATATACAGAGAGATAATTAGATGGATCGATAGATAGATAGAAAGAAAGATACTATGTATAGGCTGGCCACTCACCCGCGGGCTCGAAGGGGAGGGGTGGGGATAGAGGACGTAACCTTACGTAAGGCATCGTTTCCTTGCAATGCCGTGCAGAAACTGTCGCAAACACCAAGAAACCGAAACCTTAAACCCTAAACCCGATTGTCTATGGTTTATGTGGGTAAGTACTAAGCGTATCGATATGAAACAGCCATGATGATCGATCCTCATGGCTTACGCAGCTTGGGGATTGGAGGGCTCTTGTTTATCAGGAGGGTTCTTAGGGCTTACTAGTAAAGCTTATAGGGTTTAGGGTCAGGGTTTAGGTTTTAGGGTTTAGGGTTTTGGGGTGTAGGGTTTAGGGTTTAGAGCCTAAACCCTAGGCCCTAAGCCCCCGTCGGGGATCGGGCTGATCCTTTTTCGGAGGCTAAGGGGCTGCTTGTCCATCCATCCCTCCAACTTGGTCTCGATCTTCTTCTGCCTGGGCGCATGCTAGGGTTTAGGGTTTAGGCTTTAGGGTTTAGGGTTTAGGGTTTAGGGTTTAGGGTTTAGGATTTAGGGTTGAGGGTTAAGGGTTTAGGGTTTAGGGTTTAGGGTTGAAGCCTAGTAGGATCCTACAGGTCTCTGGAATCTAAACCCTAAACCCTAAACCCTAAACCCTAAACCCTAAACCCCAAACCCTAAACCCTAAACCCTGCTGCCAAGGCTTTTGGAGTGTTAGGATGCGCTGCCGCCAGGCTGCCGCTCCTCCAAGCTTGATAGCAAACCGAGGAGCTCCTCCCCCACATACGCCTACCAGGGATGAGATTGGGGGATGAGATTGGGGGTTTAGGGGGTTTAGGGGGTTTAGGGGGTTTAGGGGGTTTAGGGGTTTAGGGGGTTTAGGGGGTTTAAGGGGTTTAGGGGGTTTAGGGGAGGGGTTTAGGGGTTTAGGGGGTTTTAGGGGGTTTTTGGGGGTTTAGGGGGGGTTTTAGGGGTTTAGGGGGTTTAGGGGTTTTTAGGGGGTTTAGGGGGTTTAGGGGTTTAAGGGGGTTTAGGGGTTTAGGGGGTTTAGGGGGTTTAGGGGTTTAGGGGGGTTTGGGGTTTTAAGGTTTGGGGGGTTTTTGGGGGGTTTTTGGGGGGTTTAGGGGGTTTAGGGGGTTTAGGGGGTTTGGGGGGTTCAGGGGGTTTAGGGGGTTTAGGCGGTTTAGGGGGTTTAGGGGGTTTAGGAGGTTAGGGGGTTTAGGGGGTTTAGGGGGTTCCGGGGGGTTTAGGGGGTTTAGGGGTTTAGGGGGTTTAGGGGGTTTGGGGGGTTTAAGGGGTTTGGGGGGTTTGGGGGGGGTTGAGGGGGTTTGGGGGGTTTAGGGGTTTAGGGGGTTTAGGGGGTTCGGGGGGTTTAGGGGGTTTAGTGGGTTGAGGGGGTTCCCGTTTTGCAGCCCCCGACGGAGCCCCAGGCCCCCTTTCAACGGGAGCTCCTCTCGCCATTTGGCTTTCAGGGTGCAGGAAGTTTAGGGTTGGCCAGCTGACGACAATAGGTCAATGGGACCTTGCAAACAATAACTGGTTGAAGAACGTGTCAAATATCATCTTGGGTATACAAATATAAATCTATAAGTGTATATAAATATAAATATATACATATAAATATTAATGTTGATATTAATACAAATATAAATACAAATAAAAATATTAATATAAATAAATAAACATTATAAATACATAAAAATGTGTGTATATATATGTACATACATACATATATATATATATATAATCTATATATGTGTATATCGTGGCAGGTCATGGCCACTTAGAGAAACGTGATAAACCCTTAAACAACCCTCAGACGCCCCCCCCCCCCCAAAAAAAAAAAAACAAAAAAAAACTCAAAACCCCCCTAAAACCCCACTAAAACCACCCGAGAAAAAAGCAAAGCGGGCAAGGCCACCTCGAGATCTCCCTCGGGCGATTCAACCTGACAGCGTGCCGAAACCCAAAAACTACACCTCTCGGGGATGTTGTTGGGGGTATATATCGGGTGAATGATCTTGCCTACCGAAAGCAAGACTACCTTCAAGGCATTTTTGTTGGGGGGGGGGGGGGGGGGGGGGGATTTGGGTGGTTGGTGTTGCCCAAACCCTGAACCGTAAGACCGAAACTCCCCAAAGCTTAGGGGGAAGTCCGACGCTTCCGATGTGGAGGTAGAAGTGGCGGCTCGGGTGAGCAGCGAAGGCGACTCTAGCGCATGCAAACACCGATGCGTGGAGGGGCCTATAGGGTTTGGGGGTTTGGGGTGTAGGGGTTTAGGGTTTAGGGGGGGTGTGGAGGTTTAGGGTTTAGGGTGTGGGGGGGTTTAGGGTTTAGGGCGTTGGCGGGGCTTTAGAACAAGAAGCATACATAGGCCTACATGTTTTTCAGGCTCTTCGGCGAACCAAAGCCTCTCCTCTGAACTTAGGAAACCCTAAACCCTGAAGCCTTAAAAGCGCCCAAGCCCGAAACCAGAAACCCCTAAACCCTAAAACCTAAACCCTGCCCTATATATATATATATATACTTAATCCCTGTTCCCCTGAGAAAAAAAGGATCCTTTTTGTTCATATATAAGAAAGCCCATAGCCCAAAAAGTAAAAAGGATCCCTAACACTGATCTAGTATAGGGGTACCCGAAACAAGGCTTCAGGTTTCATGTTCGACTGCTAAGTTGCGGGCGGCGCCATGTCGGTGCTTCAGGGAACATGGAGACTTGCAGGGGGTTTAGGGTTTGGGGTTTAGGGTTTAGGGCTAGGGTTTAGGGTTTAGGGTTTAGGGTTTAGGGTTCAGGGTTCAGGGTTCAGGGTTCAGGGTTCAGGGTTCAGGGTTCAGGGTTCAGGGTTCAGGGTTCAGGGGGATTAAGTTCTGGGGTTTGGGGCTTTAGTGGCTTTAGCATTCAGGCTTTGGGGGGTTTAAGGGGCTTCTCTTGTGGCCCCCGGAAACTCCGACCTATGAGCGGCGCGGCCTGTGCCACTGGTGCCAAACTCCCGCGCGCTGCAGTCTTCAGCACCACCAGCTGTGGCGAGGAGTCGTTTGGGGCGGTGGAACTGGGGTTGGTCACCTTAATGCTTAGCCCAAAAGATGTTAACCTTTTATTTGTAATAGGACGACTTATAGATAACCCCAAAAAGGTTCAAAGGTTAGCCTTTTTGGCATGAGGTGTGCTTGTATATGGTGGCGGCAGATCAGATACAACCCCCTGATGTAGGGTGCGTAGGGCTTGGGGGCTCGGGGTTTGAGGAAGAAGTTGCTGGAGTAGTAAGGGCAAACGCGCTCTCGTGCAAGGGCGTGAAACGCCGACGAGTACGAACGGTCCAAGAAGCAAAGTCGTTAGGGTTTAGGGTTCAGGCCATATAGGGCTTAGGGCTTAGGGTCTAGGCTTTAGGGTTTTAGGGTTTGGTGCACCCGAATGCGTCTGGAGTGAAGCGCTGCACGTTCTGCTGGAAGAAGATGGACGAAGTGAATGGACAGAGGCAGCGAGTGGTCCCGAATTCCTAAACCCTTGATAGGCCTGGTTGAGTTCCCGAAAACAAAAACAGCAGCCCGAAATGCCAGCCCGAACCCCTGAAGTTATGTGGACTTCCCCCAAAATTGCCCGAAACCCATAACCCCTAAACCCTGAGCCCCTTTTGTTCAGGAGATGGCATTCAACCCCCATCGCAAGATATGCACACACCCACATAACAAATATAAGATTCCGACCCCTGCAGTAATCGTATTATATAAGGGCACCCTGGCACCCTGTTTGTGGTTGGCTATTTTACAAGGGAACCCTAAACCCTAAACCCTAAACCCTAAACCCTAAACCCTAAACCCTAAACCCAGAACCAAAAAAGTGTAATTAAAGGGAACCCCCTGGTCCACCAAGCTTCTATTACACTCACCAAACCTGAACATGGAGCCTGCTTCACGTTGGGCCGAATACCCCAAAACCCCGCACCTTAGGCAGCCTAAAGAAGTGGGGTTTAGGGTTTAGGGTTTAAGGTTTAGGGTTTAGGGTTTAGGGCTTGGGTTGTTTGGGGTCCAGGGTTTAGGGCTGGGGCTTAGGGTTTTCGGATCCGGCGTGCAGTCCGAAAGTCCCGCTACTTCGCTTTCCCGAGGTGTCAACCATGACTTAAAATCTTCTCTTGGCATCTGCTCCTTGAGTATTTCTTAGATGGGGGTTTATGACAGTCAAGGGAAATAGGGAACCTCCAGATACATCCCCCAATAGTAGGGCCCAGGATCCCCTTAGAATAAGGACCCCAATAAGGTCACCCTTAACTTCGGAAATTTGCAGATCCTTTGGGGCATCTTCTGGTTTCAGGGAAGGAATATTCCTCCATGATCTTTGAAAACCCAGCACAAGAGGTTTAGGGTTTAGGGTTTAGGGTTTAGGGTTTAGGGTTTAGGGTTTAGGGTTTAGGGTTTAGGGTTTAGGGTTTGGCGGCCTTCTTCTTTTTCTTGAGCTTGCCATCCTCAGGCAGCCCTTGCCTAAGACGATGCTGGGGGTATGGGAGCGGTAGGGTTTACAGGTTCAGCGGGGAGCGCTTTCGGGCTTGAGGCCCTAAACCCTAAACCCTAAACCCTAAACCCTAAACCCTAAACCCTAAACCCTAAACCCTAAACCCTAAACCCTAAACCCTAAACCCTAAACTTGGCTTTCGCAGCTATTTGTAGGACTCTAGGATTGCAATGGGCTGCGGGGCTTCGAGGTTCAAGTGCTGTTGGGCTTTTGGGGTCTCGGGGGATTCAGGTGCAGATCTTGGGTCGTCAGAAGCGTGTTTCGGGAGAGTACGGGGTTTAGGGTTTAGGGTTTACGGTTTAGGGTTAGGGTTTAGGGGTCTTCGGCCCAGCCCCAAGCCCATAACCAAGCTGTCCAGGGTGCTGCGTGAGGCGGACTGACGCCTGGCCTTCTACCTGGCAGTCGTGGCTCAGGGTTAAAAGTTGGGGTTTAGGATGTAGGGTTTAGGGCTTATGGTTTAGGGTTTTAGGCTTTCGGGCGTGGGCGGGGCGAAGCGGCTAAGCCCCGCACCCTGAACCCCCAAAGCCCTCCTCTGTTCCCCAGAAGCAGTCGACCCCATAACACTAAGGCACTAAGGTCACCGAAGCCTTCTGTGTACAGGCCCCAGCCCGCCAAACCCTAAACCCTAAAAAAACCCTAAGCCCTAAAACCCAAACCCCAACACCCCCCTGCCCCCAAGGCTTCCGGATTTGGGATTTGGGGGGGGGGGGGGGGGCTACGGACTTCGGCTTAGGGAACTTAAATCATAAACTCTAGATTGCCCAAAGCACTGGTAGGTTTAGGGTTTAGGGTTTAGGGTTCAGGGTTTAGGGGTTCGGGTTTAATTAGGGTTTAGGGCCCAACGTGCCTTAGGCCCGGCTCGCTCCATTCCTGCCAGTCTTGCCATGCTGAGCTGAATTCAGGGTTTAAGGTTGAGGGTTCACGGCTGGGGAATCGGAGGTATTCGGGCATCCGGTGGGTGGACACTTCTGTAGGTACGTTTGGGGTTCAGGGTCGAGTCGCAGGTTAAGTTTTTAGAGTTCCAGGCCCCTCGGCCCGAAACCCTAAACCCTATAAACCCTATAAACCCTAAACCCTAAACCCTAAACCCTAAACCCTAAACCCTAAACCCTAAACCCAGAGTAGGCCCTAAGGTCCTGCCGGCCTCCGGGCGCAACTTGTCCAAACAAAAGACATGAAATCACGGGTTGCCCTACTATCCCCCCCTCCAGACCACCCCGTTCCCCCCCTCCAATAACCTTTACCCTAAACCCCAAACCCAAACCCTCAACCCCAAACCCTAAACCCTAAACCCTGAACCCTAAACCCTAAACCCTAAACCCTAAATAGGCTTAGTCATCCCTAAATGGCCTGAATTATGGGGGGGAATATAGGAAGGGGGGGTAGGATACGGGGGGAGATAATGGGGGAACCTGGAAACGAAGGGAAGGGCTCACCCAGAAGCCCCTAGCAAGTCTCAACCGTTTAGGGTTTTAGGGCTTTAGGGCTTTAGGGTTTAGGGTTTAGGGTTGCCCGTCCTAGGGCAACTTGACCAGCACTCTGCGTCTTTTCAGCAGCGTGGCTCGACCTGTCCCCGGCCATGCCGATTGTAGCAACACATAATCCTGAGCCCTGAGCCCCAAATGCTCAAACGATCAGAGTAGAAAACTCTCAACCTAACAGCCTCAAGCTCTCCGTACCCTAAACGCCCCAAAACCCTAAAATGCGAGGTGTGACCCTAACTTGGCTGACTTCTGAACCCCTCCTAAAACTTTAACTTCTAGGCTCCTTATTGTAGCTTCTACCAAAAACCACAAGGTTGAAGTCCTAAGAGCCAGCCAGAAGCAAGCCAAGCTAAAATGCTAGGTGTAGAACCCCAAGACCCGCTGCAAGATGCCCAAGATACCTCCATTAAGGCAGAGCCATCAGAATCTTTCACATTGGGAAGTAACCAGGTTTACGATTTAGTGCTTCACCAGAAGACCCCAAAACCCAAAACCTAAAAGCCTAAGACCCTAAACCCTACACCACGACTTTTCCCCAGCCTGGGGCCTGTGGGAGCGAGGGGATCGTGATCCGTACCTGAGAGCTGATTTCGGGCCTATGGGGCGTAGGGTTGCGAGTTGAGAGTTTGGGGGTTCTTCTGCCAGGAAACTGAAGGTCCGAAATAGGTAACCCTAAACCCCAAACCCTAAACTCCAAACCCTAAACCCTGAACCCTAAGCCCTAAACCCTAAACCCTAAACCGTGATCCTTAAGCTCTACGTTCCGTAAACCCGCCCAAATTCAACCACGTTGCCTTTGCTAGTGGTTTGGGCTTAGGGCTAGGGTGTAGAGTTTAGGGCCTCTGTCCCTAAACCCTAAACCCTAAACCCTAAACCCTAAACCCTGGCAGTTCCGACTCAGGGCAGCACCCCCTGTGGACATAGCTCCGCGCCCCGCTCAGGTTTGAGCCACGCTGGACATGTAGGGCTTGGCCTAAACCCTAAACCTTAAACCCTCCTAATTAAACCTTAAACCCTAAACCTTAAACCCTCCCAATTAAACCTTAAACCCTCCTAATTAAACCTTAAACCCTTGACCTTAAACCTGAAACCCAAACCCAGACCAGTCATGCGGTTGGATTCTCATGGAGGCAACGTTTATTCGCGCAGCGGCCCGTCGCAAGCAAAAAACCCATCCGTCCTATGCACAACCGGCCGCTCCACCAATTTGGGAATTTAGGGGCAGGCTAGACCCCTTCGCCCCAGAAACCCCAAACCCTAAACCACAATCAACCTCAGAATCCCAGAACCAAACGGCCATGGAACAAACGCCCTAAAAACCCCAAGGGTTCGAGCTCTTGGGATTTTGCCATGTCGGGCCCTAAACAGGAGAACTCCCTAGGCTTGGCCCTGAACCCTTGGGTTTAAGCTTTAGGGCAAAGCAAAACCAGGGGGCTGCAGCCACTGTACCCTGCAATCTCATGTAATGTTGAGTTCGCAGGTAGCTATATCAGTCATAGCTTCGCTTCGCTTCGTTTTGCGACTCACAATCTCGCGCTGCTCTAAACCCAAACCACCCTTTTCTTGAGGGCTGCTGGATTGGAACCGGCTTTGGGGCAGTTTCTATATGCATGTCAATCCACCAAGTACAGTTGAATGTCCTTCAAAGGACCCCCCAGCCGCCAGGACCCCTGATTTCGTAAAGCCCACATTGAAGGCAGCTATCAAGCATCTGCTGAGCAGAGTCGTGGCAGTAACAATGCCCCAGGCAAACCCCAGTCTGTCGGCTTGCAGTTGCGCAGTCGCTGTCGCTATAGCAGACTCAGTCACTGATTAACTCCCTAAACCCTAAACCCTAAACCCTAAACTGTTCGATGTCAGGTCCCCGGCAGTCAGTTCCGCACGCCAAGCCGTCGCCTCCATCGGAACGGAGGTGGTCCATCCACAGATGCATATGACTAGGTTGCCCAGTAACCTAGGATGAAAAAGGGTGCCCTTTTTTGCTTAAAGGGGCTTATAAGGGAACCTAAACCCCCCAAAAAGGGAATAAGGGTACTACTGGGCATCCTAGATGAAGTAGGGTACATACCAAGACGGGCTATTAGGCCCTATAATCTTCATGTTCAACCCTAAGGGTCTTCTTAAGGGGTTATAGGGCCGAATAGCCCGTCCTGGTATTTCTCATATCATATGAAGTACCTGAAGGCTCCAATGTCGTTCCTTTTTGGGTTAGTTATAGGGGATTCTAGTATACTACCCCAAGAAGGTCCTACATAGGAGCCTCTGGGTAGGGTATATATTTCTTGTACCCCCAAAAGGACACCAGGTATATACACTCACCAATGTTAAGAAAGGAACCTTATATACACACACACCCAAAAACAGTAAAAGCCCTACTTCATATCCGTATGCACCTTCCTCAGCTTCGCCCAGGAGCAGGACGGTTGCGTTGAGGCGGCCGTCAGGACTGTTTTTTCTGTCTGCCTTGCCTAGACAGCCGTGTGCAAGCAAGTGTGGTGAAGAAATTGGCCGCGCCCAATCCCAAAGAAGTCGCGGCAAGGTGACGCAAGCTTCCAGCTCTTCATGGTTGGTGGGCAGCGCACCTTGCTGTCCCGTGCCATTCTCGCTCTGGTTTGGAATCAGAAGCAGGCCTTGGGGCAATGGCCAGACCCTCATAACTGAGCAGGCTTGAAAGAAAGGCAAGGACATGCGCATAGGGCAACATACTACACCCCAAGCCTTAATCCCTGTCTTCTTAGAGAGCGCCCCCCTGGACCAACCCATGTGTAGGTAGGTTGCAAACTTGTCTGCTTCGCGAGTGCTTGGGGGGAGTGGGGGGGGGGGGGGGGGAGTGGGGGGGGGAGTGGGGGGGGGAGTGTGGGGGGGAGTGGGGGGGGGAGGGGGGGGGAGTGGGGGAGGTGGGGGGAGTGGGGGGCGGGGGGGGCGGGGAGGTGGCGGGGGGAGTGCCACTTTGCAAGTGGGTACGGTTTAATTAGGGTTCAGGAGTTGGGTGGGTTTAGGCCTTCTTTTGTTTTTCCTAGCCGGGGGTTTAGGGTTTAGGGTTTCGGCTTAGGGCTATCCCGCAGTTGGGGGTTCAGGGTTAGATCTGGGGATTATGAGATGTGTTCCTCTTAAGCACTAAGCTCGGAACTCAACGCCGTAACGGGGGGTTTAGGGTTTGGGGTTGAGGGTTTAAGGTTTCGAGGTCGAGGGCTTCAGGTTTCGGAAGCCAACCCTAAACCCTAAACCCTAAACCCTAAACCCTAAAACCTACAAGACGTATGGGAACCATCCGTAACTCGGACCTAGCGAAGGATGAGCTGGCATATTAAAAGTCCTACATCCCCGAAGGCTTTGAAAGCACAAACCAAAGCACAAACCCTAAACTTCCAACCCTAAGCTCCAAACCCTAAACCCTAAACCCTAAACCCTAAACCCTAAACCCTAAACCCTAAACCCTAAACCCTAAACCCTAAACCCTAAACCTGCTAGAGCTTTGGGGGGCGGCTTCGGGTTTGGGATTTCAGTTCCCTAAACAAGTGCAAGCCCTCAGAAGCGCAACAACGCCAGTAGGAGCGTAGTCTGGGGTTTAGGGTTTAGGGCTCCTATTCTACTACGGAACCCTCTCTTTGTATATATATATATGTATACATACATACATATATATATATACATATATGGGTACATATACAAATATTTGTACATAGACATAGGGTACCCACAAGGGGATCCCAAATCCCCGAAGGGGACCTTTGTTTTCCTCTCTTGGGTGCTACAAGAGGCGCAAGAGGACTGGCCAGGGCAGTTTGTCTCATCGCCCGAAACACTCAAACCCCCAAACCGCCCTAAGCCTTGAAAACATCATGGCAACCAAAACACATGGAAAACTGCCCTGGTGCTGCAGTGAGAACTGTCAGATCGTTAGCTGGTTGGTTCTGGGGCTTGTGCCTGGAGGCTTTTGGGACAAGAGGCTTATAGGGGGTCCTCAAGGGTTTGGGGGTTATGGGGTTTAGGATTGGGGGATTTGGAGACAGTGACCTCGAATCCTCCGAAACCCGCTGCGGTCTCAGTTCATGTGGTGGTGGCTGCCATGGCAGCAGAGAAAACGCAGCTCAAAAGTCTCAAGTCGCACTCAGAGAAATCCTGCATTTGCCTTCTGCAGAAGCTGCTTTGCGCGCATCGATTCCTTCCCCTAAACCCTAAACCCTAAACCCCAAACCCTAAACCCTAAACCGTAAGCCCTGGCGCCTGTCGCCCAAACGCAAGCCACGGCGTCCTCTCCTCTTTCGAGGAAGCGAAGCTCTTCCGCGAGGTTGGCAAGCTGCAGTTCCCCTCAACCCTGAGCCCCCTATAAGGGTCCTAAGGCCCCCTATCTTTCAACATACTACTCTTTGATATACTCCAATAATTCTACAAATATGTATATGTAAGTTGAACCTGCTGGGGTAGAAACTGCAGCTCACGCCCACACATAGTGCAGCTCGGCCGGGCGGGTCTCTCTAGTACCGCTTCGAGGAGAGCGTGGACCAAGGCGCATCGTAGTCAGTTATGCCAGGAATGTTGGTGCTTTTCCTGCGCAGGGGCCCAGGCTGCAACTTCCATAGGGGAGGGTTTAGGGTTTAGGGTTTAGGGTTTAGGGTTTGGGGTTTAGGGTTTAGGGTTTAGGGTTTAGGGTTTAGGGTTTAGGGTATTGTTTCGGCCCTCAGCCTAGAACTTCAAATCGAGGGCTTGGCTTCTCCGGGCAATGACGCAGGAATTCAGTCGGTGGGTTTCGGTTGGTAGCACATCCCACTTGGAACTACGTCGCCCAGACCGTGTTCGTAAACCCCTAAATCCGCAAACCCTAAGCCCTAAACCCGGAAGGTCCAAGTCACCCATTGCTTTTGGGCTTCAGGGCTTCGGGGCTTCGGGGCTTCGGGGCTTCGGGGCTTCAGGGTTTAGGGTTTAGGGCTTCGGGGCCTCGGGGCCTCGGGGCCTCGGGGCCTCGGGGCCTCGGGGCTTAGGGCTTAGTTGGCAAGCCCGAGGGCGCCCCGTTGAAGCTCTTATGGGAGCCCTCAAGCAAAGGCGAGAAGGGCTCAGGGCCGCAGAAGGTTTTAAGCAAACATAAGCCCTAAACCTCAAGCTCCAAACCCCAAACGCCAGGCCCCAACACCCGGAGCAAAACCGGAAACTCTGCACCGTAAGCTCTGAACCCAAAACCCAAAACGCTAAACCCCTAACCCCTAACCCCTAACCCATCACCCCTAACCCCTAAACCCAAAACCCTAAAAACCCTGCCTTTGATCCATCAGGTCATCCAACCCTGCCCTAAACCCTAAACCCTAACACCCCTAACTCCTAGACCCCGTGCCTTTGATCCATCAGGTCGTCCACTTCCATGATCGAGCCCTTCTGGTTCTGCTTGCGGTAAGCAGCCGTCAGGTCTTAGCTTCAGTGGTTTAGGGGGTTTAGGGGGTTTAGGGTTTCGGGTTTGGGGGTTTAGGGTTTAGGGTTTCGGGTTTTGGGTTTAGGGTTTAGGGTTTAGGGTTTAGGGTTTAGGGTAAGGTTCGGTCGCGGAATTTGCGGCAGCTTCGGGTTTCGAAGGAAAGGGGCGGCCTTGCAGGTGACTAAGGGCTAACGGTGTTTGACCTCCACGGATCCTGGGGTTTAGGGTTTTGCCCAGTAGCATCAAATTATTAAACCCTAAACCCTAAACCCTAAACCCTAAACCCTAAACCCTAAACCCTAAACCCTAAACCCTAAACCCTAAGCCCTAAGCCCTAACTAGGCTCCCGGCGCTTGTCGAAGTCGACCTGCTTGAGGGCGTATTGCAGCTCCGGCGGCAGAGGGCATCGGATCTTGCACTTAGCCTCCTGATTCGGGTTTCGGGGTTAGGGTTTAGGGGTTTAGGGCTAGGGTTTAGGGTTTAGGGTTTAGGGCTTAGGGTTTAGGGGTTGAGGGTTT